TTAAGTAATTCATTGAATCTAGAAGGAACCTCAACAGAATGCAGAAAGCGCTGGACAACCGTTTCGTCCTATATTTGGGACTCATCAGCAGTGCGCATCCACTACCGGGAATTGAAGCCCGGAGTTTGAAAGTTAAATTATAAGGCAAACGTCTTGCCAACTGTACCAACAGGCCTCGGTGACGAAGTGGTAGCGACTTAGACTCGAGATAGCGCCGCTTGATCACATATTCCGTGGTTGAACACATCCGAGTTTCCCTTATCCACAGGACTGCGTCCCAACGTGGCTCGTGGGGGCACAGTCTAGACATGCGATGCAAAGTGCGTCAATTTGTATGAATTCAGAAATAGTGAGATAACTCATTAATGAAAAGTTTCATTTCAAAACAAATTGGCGCAAATAATCTTTTAGATCTTTCATCACATCTATTCAATTCATTCATAGTTAACATCACTAGCTGCTTCGATACGGGCTCTGAAGCGTTGACATGCCTGAATCACGTGATCTTTAATAGTAGTCCAGTAGATTCATGTCTGCTGAGCTAGGAAGGCATGTGTTTAGGAGAACAGGATCCTGGAGATATTAACGTATCCATATATGCTTTATGTTAGCCATAGGAAACAGTTTAGAGTTTTGTTCGAAGACGTACGCTCTTTCGTTGCCTATGTTGTCTCTCCAACACCTAATATTTAAAAAAATTTTTTACAGTAAGGTTGACTTTGCATAAGGCCCAGTGGCCATTCGAAGTAAAGAGTTAAGTTAAGGGGTAGTTTATATGGATAGGAGGGGAAGATAACTTTTGAGGCTTGACTTGAACAGCTTAATGTTGTAGTGATCGGATAAACATCTTCTAAGTCTGTTCCATAGCAGGTTGTATCAAAGGGTGGTTTCTCCTAAAGAGGCGTGCACATATATATAAGTCATGGAGAAACAGTTACCTGCTCTGCATATTCTCATAATCAGCACTTATTTCCTTCCTCTTAAGTCCATATAACTACATTCAGTGATGTTTGAGTGGCTCTTGGGCCTTATATTGAGTGACGATTTAGTTAAAAAAACTCATCAACTGTTAGAAACATACATTATATGTGAACTAAGTGATACTCGCTCGTAATTTTGTCCGAGTTAAAAGAGTTACCGAACCATTGTTTGCTGGAAGATCATTGGTGTACCTGTAAATGTAATTATACGAAGGGTAATAAAAAGTTCTCAGCCTGACCAAGAAGCCCTTCCTTACTAAAATTCTGATGCTTGGTCATTTGGTCAGATATTGTGAAGTCGCTCGAGCCGTGAACTTTTCAGCAGATCTTTGTATATTACTACCTCTATACCATTATAACTCAACACCTGGCCTTAACCACCAGACATAACTTCTAATTGTGCTGGTCACCAAATACTACACACCTATCTAGGTTTCGAATATTATACCGGTGGGTGGGAGTGGCTACACTTCGGTGAAAGTGACTTGCGTTCTGTGTAATCAATTTAGTTAGTTCATTTCCTTCACCGAAATTTGTATTGTCTAGATGAATTTCATTCATTTCATACCTCTGAGAAAATAAAAGGTTGTGTTGATCTGGGCAAGATTTCGATCATACTGCTTTTTCAGCGTCGGACGATCTTGCCCAATAGAAAAAAAAATCAACTATGCTGAAAAATTATCAACAATTTAATTGAAGGTGTAACGTAATTTCTTAATGTAAAACCTTTCAACAGCTGTGGGGCTGTTTCGTTCCAACCATTCCTTTTCTACCCATGAGGCACTTAGAGATGTCTGTTTGTTAATTAATGCAGGTGATGTTGGCAATTTTGCAGTGAATAACATTTAAGGCAGATTTTCTCCAATGCATGATCAAGGGCGGGGCTGTCAATTTTCTGTGTGAGCGTTCGACTTCTCTGGATGACTCTTTCGAACATTACTCAACCTTTACTGAGTCCTGTGCATGCGTACACCGTTTATATAGACTTCCGTCTTGGAACAGACATGATTAATTAACTTCTCGAAAAAAGAACCTCTCGTGAGATGGCGCAGATGGATGATTATGAAGTGCTTTTCAATTTTGTCCCGAATTTTTAAAATTCCCAAATTTACATTGACATCAACGTAAATACACCGGATAGGTTGATAAAAAAACAAACCCTAAAATTCTCGAAAATCCTGTGAACGTTTGACAAATTCGTTAATCATGTCATGCCAACTTCCTTGGGGTTATGGAGTTGGTCTGAGGGTATCTGTTATGCTGAATCTTACTAAATCTTACTTAGTTTGATTTGACCTCAGTCTTCCGAGTATTTTATGACTTAAATTAATATTTTTAAACTGGACATTTTTTTTTATCAAACTACAATCTGATTAACCTCTCTCCCATATTTTTTCCTAATATCTCTACTCCGTTAAGAATTGTTAAGTCTCTTACTATTTTAAGTCACTAACCACTTTTCATAGACTAGTATGACTCAACAAAGGTCACTACCTTGTTACGCCATTATATTTGCTACACTTGTTTATTTTTCTTTGGATTATTGACAACACTTATTAAAATTTATTTTTTTATGTTCTTGCGATAACAATTTCGTGTTGTTACGTTTACACCCGACGGTCGTATTTTTAAAATAGTAACACATATTAAAACGAACTATTCCTTTGAAAGCTCCTGTTGTCTCTATATTTTAGCAGATAATATCAACCATGGGTGGGTACTTAAGAACTTGCAAGACAAGATATCCTGTTGTCAAATGGAAACATTTCGCAAGAAACCAGGTATACGAATAAAGAAAAAAAAACAAAAAAACAAAACAACTTTTGCATAAAAGTCGGTTACCAAAGTATATTAAATATAATCCTGTCATCACGAATTTCGTGGTCGGGTGTGTTCGTAGGATTTCTGCTCAGCTGAACACGTGACCTACTCACTTCACATGTCTGTATTGAAAACCGGAGAAGTATTCATGTTTAGCGTTTCTTAGGCAAATAAACCTGGCGGAGTCTATCCCTCTCCAGATCAAACTCTAGTCGACATCCTCCAACTCGAAGACTCGACTGTGTCACACTTTTCCAATTAAAGGGACACAACTCTTTAACTTTCAATAGCTCATGTTACACGAATTTTAGGTTCCCGAGTTTTCATTACTGCAATTGTTTTCGGCGATTTTTACGTGATTTTTGTGACAACTTTTTTTTGTACAATAATCATTTTTATGAATAGGAAATAAATTTGGGAATAATTGAAATTAATTGCAAAATCCAGCGAAAGTCATCCATGAAATAAATAATTGTTTGTACGGAAAGTAAGGATCTACGCACATAAAATTGTTTTTTAAATTAAGTGGCAGCAGAAGAAGGTAAGCTTAAGTATTAATGCAATATTTAAATGCATCGATCAATTTTGAGTTCTTCAGTAGTTTCTTGGTGCCTATCGTATACGGCAGCAGTATGCCCCGCAAAAAGAAATCTCCGCCAACAGAGGACAAGATTGCAATCAAAGGAGCAGCGAGGAAAAGAAAGTCCTGTGCAAATGAAAACCCAGATCAAACGGCAGCCAGGAGAACTTCCAATGCTGAGAATATGGAAAGACTCAGGAACTCTCAAACTTCTGAACAATCCGAAGGTCCAATCAGAACCTTCCGCAGGATCTAGCTTAAATGCCACCCGATAGGAAATCTCTTAAGCTAGTAGTTAATATGCCCAGTTTACTCCATCGTACTAGAGGGTCGTTGACCCATAAAATAAGGTTCATCCACCCTTTGACTCGTCATGTTTCTAATCCAGCCTGGTCTCTAGCCATTGACCTCGCCCGAAAAAGCCTAGAAATGGCAGACTATGAGACTTGTAGTACGAGGCTACCAGTATCATTCGTCGAGAAACCTGGCATAAAATAAAACCCTGACAGTATTTTAAATGCTTCAAATGCCTAAATATAAATCAAATGATTTAAATGTTACTCGAAATTAATGGGATGTAAAGAAACGTGTGCTGAACTGCTATGTAATGTCAATCCTTTCATATGGCAGTGAATACTGGACAATCTCCTCACAGATGAAAACTGGAGGCAATATAGATAGGGTTCTACAGAAGAATGCTGAGAATACCATGAATAGAGCGCTTAAGCAACGAGGAGATCTTAAGGGAGATGGAAACAAAAGAGGACATTTCAAATCAGAAAGTGTTCATTGTTATTTAATCCATAGCTGTGAGGCAAGAAATAAAGTGAACACAACGGACTAGACGTGAGCTCACCTATCCATTTTCTGAGTCACTAACGGACACGCTGTTGTTTTTTAGAATTCAAAATGTTTTTCTTGTATCCTTCATTTTGTAAGATTGACAGGAAATCAATGAATTGTCTCACGATGCTGTCATTATCGATCGTGCAAATGTTCGTTGCTGAACTCACCCACAAATATTTGCACTATTTACATTGTTCGGACTGTTATCCTTAGTCTTTGTTGTCGTATTCACGACGTTTCGGCCGTTGTACGTTCCGGCCTTCTTCAGGTGATTGGAATTTCGAACTGAACTCTTTATTTCGTCCACCGAGGTAGATTGTTCTAAATAATGGGTTCGGTTCGAAATTTCAATCACCTGAAGAAGGCTGGAATGTACAACGGCCGAAACGTCGTGAATACGACAACAAAGACTGAGTAATGTAATAATGTAAATCGTAGCAATATCATCTCAGAAATATAGACAAATACCCACAAATGTTAAACTTTTTTCAAGTGAGAAAGATTGATTGATTGATTCATTCGTTTTTTACGGCTTGTCAACCATTGTAGGTTATTTAAAGCCATAACATATTTTTAGATTGTAAGCATTTTTTGGCGGTAATAATGATTTACTGTTACAAGTTCTACTAACTGACCAATAGCTGTGGGTTCATGCCTTTCTCAAGAGTATATGCGCGTAAGGAAATATAACGAACCAAACTGGTATTGGAACACGGACCCCAGATTAACAATTCCGGGCTCTTATCCATTACACCACCCACTCATCCAAGCTAACAGAACACAGTATTCCTAAGCGATTACCCATGTAAGTACTGACCAGGCCTCAACGTTGCTTAACTTCGATTATCGTATGGGAACCGGCGTTTTGCGTTATGTGGCTGTAATTGTCTCACGACGCTGTCATTACCGATCGTGCAAATGTTCGTTGGTGAACTCACCCACAAATATTTACACTATTTGCATTGTTCGCACTGTTATCCTCAGTCTTTGTTGTCGTATTCACGGCGTGATTGGAATTTCGAACGGAATGCGTAAGTAAAATAAAATATTCCCCCCAGGACTGTCTCCTCGGTTGTCTCATCGATCAGTCTTTGTCTCGAAAGATATTTTCTTGGCGAGTGTTTTCTATTTCTATTAAATATAATAAACTGATAATCCAATAAGGATTATCTTATTATCATTCTGTTCCTTCGCTCCTTGGCTTACGGCCATATCACGTTCAAACATCATCATATCACCGAAGTTAAGCAAGGTCGACCCTGGTCAGTACCTAGATAGGCGACCACTTGGTAATACCAGGTGTTGTAAGCTTGGATTTGTGGGTTGTGTTACGAATAACAACTCGAAATTTGAAGTCAGTCAGCCGAGTTCCAATTCCAGTCGGGTTTGTTATATTCACTTACGCGCTGATACCCTTGGGGAAAGGCATGAATCCAGCTCTTCTCCCCAAAACTATGGGTTAATTTGTAGGTCTTGTATCAGTAAATGATTGTTGTCTCCCTCAAAAGTTCTTTCAATCTAAAAAAAAATTCTGGCTTTAAATAACCTGCGAATGGTTGGTAAACCGTAAAAACAAACAAATCAATCGATCCTTCGCTACTTCGTTCGTTAGGACGTACGTTACGCCTTGTCAATACCTCGTAAATAATGGACTATTCTGTTTTTATCGCGAGGAAAGACGAGAAGGACATATCAGAGACGCTGTTTGGTTTTAGTAAGAAAAAGAAAGACGAGACAAAGTAAGCCACAACGCTTTCATGTGTTTGTCTGCTTTGGTGAAATGGAAAAAAATATATTAATCGTTTCATTTGTACGCCCTTACTTCTTTAAATAATGACTCGAATTCATACTTATGAATGTTAAGGCAATATTTTGTTAAAGTTGTTAAGCTCAAATATTTAACGATACCGTAGGGGAATTCCCCCGGCTATTTTATAATCGTAGAACTCAATCATGAATTATTCAATCAAAATCGAATCTTAAATCAATAAATTAAATAGCAAAACTGTGATAAATTCATGATAAGAATTGTAAAGAACATATTTAACGATTCACATATGAAAACCCTTTAATAATTGTAAGAACTTTACAAAATATTAGTTTCAGATATGCCTTTATTTTTGGGATCAACTAGTATTAATATAAGATTGTAATGGATATAAAGTAGCATTGTTTTTTTTTTTTATTGTTCTTATGTACAAAAAAATCCCCATTAATTACTGCATATTAATATAATAATTATATAAAAAAATATTTTAAAAATTCGCGTGTGAAACCCGTTTAATAATAGTAAGAACAAAATATCAATTTCATATAAATTATGGAATGCGCATGTTTGGAATTGTTCAGTTTATTCACGAATTTTCTGTAACTAATTACAATACCAAGACATACCACTTTCATCTTGGGACCATACACGTACACTCACAAATATAAAGGCAAAGTTCGTAGATACTACAAACACAGTGCTCAGTGCAGACAACAGTATAAAGTATATATATATACATTAGGTTGGTGCAAAAATAATGACGTAATAATGTCGTTTTTGACGTTAAAAATAGGTCAAAAACGACATTATTACGTCATTTTTTGCACCAAATATATATATATATATATATATATATATATATATATATATATAATATAACGAATCAATGGATGTTTATACGATATAATTTTCTACTACTGTTATTTTTTTTTGTGTACCTGTATTTGAGTGGCGGTCCTGTTTTTTTTTTTTTTTTTTTTTAACCAGTGTAAATTTTTTTCTGCCGGCCTGCATATTCGAGAGATTTAATAACGGAAATGTGCTCTTCAGCAGGGTTCGATCTGAACGAGTGATGTACATTCTTCAAAAGGATAACTGAATCACTTTGCTGGGCGGTTTTCTCTTTGTGGCCGACCGGACTAAAGCTTGCCGGATCAGACGGTGGTTTCTTCTACCAATGGTGGGGTGGGAGTTCTAGGTACGCGCTCTGCCATAGAGCACGTTCCCTTTATTAAGTCTCTCGAATTCGAAAGCCGGTAGACGTGGCTAGCTAATCCCTGTTGCAAACACCTGCTCAGGCATACTTGTGTGAATTCGACATCCATATAGCCCCAACTCCCGTGGTTTATACTGCAACTATGCCGATTGAAACTTAGTTACATTTTCTTGGAGTGAGTAAATAATATGGCGTGATACCCAATTTTATTCCCATATGTTAAAACTATAAGAAAAGCAAAGACTTAACAAATTATTCCGTCAGCATTAGTAAAGTAGGATTGAATAACTAGCTTCTAATAAATAAATAAATAATAGATAAATAGCTTCTATTTAGAATTGTTGAATTGGCGATCCTCTTGTTTATTTTTTAATCTCAGCTACAAGATAACAAATAAAAACAGAAAAATTTTTTTCGGAGGATTAATATGCAATATAATAATTAACTCTTACTACATAATACACCACAGAAGGTTTTTCTTTGTAATTTCCATAAATGTCTGGTGAGAGTTATCTCCCCTTCACATTTGATTTATTTATGTAAAGACTCAGATGTTAAAACTATAATACAGTGTAACCCGGATGTAAGAGAGTTGTCGGGACCGGAGAAGAAGTCTCTTATATCCGGGTTTCTCTTATATCCGGGTTTGGTCTATTTTATATACATTAAAACAGGCTCTAATTTGGGACCAGAGAAAATCTCTCTTATATCCGGGTTTCTCTTATATCTGGGTCTCTTATATCCGGGTTACACTGTAAAAGCAAATACTTAACAAACTATTCCATCAACATTAGTAAGGTGGGATTGAATAACTAGTAAGTTATTTGCTCTTCACTTTGAACGTCTTTAAAAAAAAAAAGAATCCGCAGTTTTTGGTAGATTTTGAACTGTCGTGAATGTTCTTTGGGGGAAAGCAACGGAGTGGTTTCCCGTTACCTTCTCTACGACTTTGAATTCGGTGTTGTTCTTATCCCAGATTGTTTACCCTTCCATACACAAAAGAGCCCAATTTACCATACTATTTCGCCTAGAGTAAAAGGAAAAAGACAGATTCGTGCCTTTCTTAAATTCCTTCTGTAGACGTCATTTGTATTTCTTGTGGTTTACAATGCGATTATGTCGAGCAGACTCGTTGGTTAGAGTTTCTTGAAGAGAGTGCATAATCTCGATCAGTTGAACAAAAGTCATTAAGCTCAAGTCCTCGGCCATGATGACTTGTAACTTCGTGCTAGCGGAAATAACGACAACTTCCGAACAGTTTCTTCTACCCAGTTTCAGATATAAGGCTTGGGTCAACGCCTGCTATGGTTTTCAGGCATTTCCCAGCATCCCCGCAAGCTGGGATCGTCTCCCCAAGCCGATATTATAATTTTATTTAGTAAAATACAATACTTTGGGCACAAAACCGAAGAGAGAGAGAGAGAGAGAGAGAGAGAGAGAGAGAGAGAGAGAGAGAGAGAGAGAGAGGGGATGATGTTGGTCACCAGTAACTATCCTGCTCTTAGCTAGTTCGATTCAAGTCCCATCCATTCTAACAATTGACAAAAACACCATAAGAACTCATCCGTCGACATTCAGTTCAAAAAGGTGGCAAAATACTACGTTTTCGCATGGGACCTAATAATACATCCATGATATATATATATATATATATATATATATATATATATATATTTTTTTTTTACCAAAATATATAAATGGAGGAGGTGTAAAGCCATTAGATCAAATAAAAAGTTTAACTAAACAATTTAAAAGAAATTAAAATTTTGTTAGTAAGGTACCGTTCACCCATCAAAAATTAGAATGTATGCTGTATTCTGCTGTCAGACAGAATCAAGACGCTCACTCGCTAGTGGCGGGCGGTGGGTAGAAAAATATGGGATTAAGAATGTAAAAGGCTGGTCCAATCAAGATAAAAATAAAATGGGTTAAAAAAAAAATGTAGCAAATCTTGAAAAAAGACCATAAGAAAAGAGGGGATCGGGAATAATACTCACCCTCATTAAATTAGAAGAAAAACAAGACTAGGTTAACCATGAGTTGTGTACGTCAGGAATCCGCTCTGTTGTCCGCCGCTCACTTTCTGAGCGACGGTTCGGTTCAACTCTCTGTCTACGGACGGAGAGGAACCCGAAGGAGGTTACGCCGAAGGGCGGGGTCTCCTTCGGGAAGGTAAAACCGGCCCTGAACCCGTTTATACGGGTTCAAATGGGCTATTTTTTGGCCGAGCCTAATGGCTCGGAAATGCCCACGTTAAAAAGGCCTTGTGCCACATGACGCCCTCGTGGGGGGACGACTAAATATAATCCGCTCTGTTGTGACAAGAAGGGACTAAAATAGAAAATCAATCAAATTTTGCCAGATTCACGCGAACTAGGCTCGCAACACGTACCCACATTTTGCAGAAATTATGGAAACATGGTGAGATCCGAACTCAGCTCACATGGTCGAAACGTTCAAAGCATTCAACCAAACACACCCACTAAACTGTCTATAAAAAAGACCAAATCGTTTTGACGTCATTGTATTTCATTGACTCCATTCAATAATTCATCAATTCAGAATAATTTATTGTGCATGATTTATTAACACTTTATTGAAACAAAGTTTTTTATTTGAACAAAGTATCTATAAACAAAAACAATTTCTTTTTCTATCCTCTGCCAGCCGCAATGATAGAGAAAGCATTACCTCGCACCTTCGCCAGTAAGACACGCTGCAAGAGCCACTCCATTTCGTGAGGCTCGTACCTTAATGGAAACGCAATCGCGCCAACCCTCCAAAGGAACGCCATCGAACGAGGTCCAATAAACCCAGAAGTCCCCACTTCCAGGGGAGTAAAAATAAATCTGTCGGCTAGAGAAGAATATTTAACTATTTTTTT